GGCGTCAACAAAGAGTAAGGGTGAACTCAAAGTTATCTAGCTGGGAAACTGTGCTTAGTGGAGTGCCCCAGGGTACAGTTTTGGGGCCAGTGCTATTCCTCTTGTATGTAAATGACCTTCCTTGTCTCCTATCATCATCGGTCTTGCTATATGCTGACGATGTCAAGATATGGAGAACGATACGATGTAAGAGTGATAGCTTAGAACTTCAAAATGACCTGAAGAAGTTATCTGAATGGTCTCAAACATGGCAGTTGCCGATAAATACTTCCAAGTGTGTTGTGATGCATATCGGTCATCAAGGCACAGATACATACACGATGAATAACACTGAGCTACCTGTCGTCCAGACATATAATGACTTAGGAGTTATCGTTAGTCAAGACTTAAAGACTACTGCACACTGCCGTGCAATAGCCGCCAAAAGTTTTAGAACGTTATGGTCAATACGTAGGGCTTTTAGTCATGTCGACACTAAGACGTTTTTGACTTTGTATACAGTGTTCGTTCGTCCTAAACTTGAGTACTGCATACAAGCGGCTTGCCCCTGCTTTAAAAAAGACAGAGAGCTTCTGGAAAAGGTTCAGAGAATGGCGACTAAGCTGGTTCCCGCAATAGCGAAGCTTCCGTATGAATCTCGACCGGCCAAGCTGAACCTTTTCCCGTTGTCATATCGCAGAACTAGAGGCGACTTGATTACAGTCTACAAATTGCTTAGTGATAAATTTGCACCTAACATGCCCTCATTTTTCTTGTCTTCCAAAACAGAGAATTTACGAGGACACTCCAAAAAAGTTCATAAGCCGAGAACAAATTGCTTGTCAGCTGACTATCGACTTTCCCATCGAATCATCAACGAGTGGAATTCACTACCTCAGCACGTGGTTGAGGCTCCATCCGTCGACTCTTTCAAAAGAAAGTTGGATCAACTGAGAGACCACCATTGCCAGGACTAACATAGGCCATCGAGCCTCCTGTCCTTCCCAAACTGAAACTGAAACTGAAACTGAAAGTGGGATGATAGCTGGCGCTAAAATTCTGGACGCACTGTAAGTCCAGTGAAATTCCACTGAGCCCTAGCCAAATCATCCTGCAGTTAAGTCATTGAATATCGAACAAACCATCGATCCTAGTCAAGGTCAAGGACAACAAACGTGCATCAGTTAATAGTACGCGATGGACTGGCCCATGCGGCGGTGGTCTTACTTTCGCTTGTGTCTGCTTTAACTGATATATTTCTGTAATAACGTCCAATGCGTTGTACAGTCTTCGAAGCATCTATAGTACCTTGATACGTCAATGGGGTAGTCCACGTCAGGTGCTGACTACGAGGTGTAACTTCGATATTAGCTGGTTCGTCACACCATTCCCGTCTAACTTGAGTAGGCCTCCGGTCATTTGACACTGATCATCTACTTTGGTGATCCACAGCACATTTCGTCCCGTTTGGGACTCGATAGCAGGATTTATATGCATCGCAGAGTTGATGTTCACTCCACCACTCGAACACAGTACCGTCAACCTGATACGTCGTCGCATTATTCACTTAGCTACTGAGTCCTGATAGCCACTAGCATGTGCGCTGGGGTGAAGTTTAAACTCATTTTGTATTTGTCCGAATCTTATTGAAGTTTAGGACTGCAATTGATCAGTCTGTTATTAGTATACATGCATCCTGTATGGATAACCTCTATATTGTCTTAAGTCACAAACATTGATGTTCAATAATCTACATATTAACTTACAATTACCATGTACTCTTGGAATCTTTTCCTTGGAACAGTTTAATTGATTCATAAGACCTTGTCATGCAAAAATATGTCCAAAGAGACAGCCAAGATAAATTAAAAAGAAGAAATATGATCAGACTGTAGACATCGGTTCTATGAACTAATTATTCCACTACCGGTGACAATTTTTAACACCAATGTGTCACCGCAAACAATTGGATATCTACTAATCCGCAAAACTAATGTTTGTCTACCACGGTTGAGTGATATGATGGTGTTACATCGCAACCAATAAACGTTGTGTAGAACGGCATTCAACCACGTAAATAGCAATCAATTTATATCGCCGTTAACAATTCCGTTTACACAAAAATCAAATATTGTATGCAAGCCACTAGTCCGCTACTGAAAAGACAGCGTCTTGCTGGAAAACGTTCAAAATGCTACAGACGAACTTGTCCTAAGATTACTTTATAATCTATCTGAAGAGCGATTAGCGGGATTAAGTCTGTACATATATATCTGGACTAGCGACTTGATCATTCTGAACTCCATAGTAAGAAATAAACATATGACAGCCCCTCTTTCTTTCCTGAAGTAGTCACAAACGAAAAGGGATACACAGAACACTTTTCTAGCCGCGGATCAACCGCTTTTTCGACTACTGACCTTCTCCTTGAATTGTCATTTCACGAGACAGCATCACACCACAAGATTGCGGTTTCTCCGTGATAAGCATTTGAAGGAAGGCTAGGTCAATCATCAGAACAAATACAGGCGGTTTAGATTTCTGTTCTAACCAAACTTTAAACGGAATCGGGACGTCATCATACATTCAGGTATCGATTGTATTTTGTCTGAAGATTAAAATTATTTGTAAAATAATGGAATTTTATCTACATTCCTTAAAATTGCCTTAGTGTTCACTTTGTCATATTTAGAATATTTATTCGTGATAACTTGATCTTCAGCTGTTCGATTTGAAATTATATTTGGGAGACAGATATGTTTACTTCACGAACATTTTCTATGTTCTTACGTAACGAAAAGTACCATTTCTAGCAAAAGGATCTTTCCTGAGCTTAATGTTTTTAGGTTTTACACAAGCTAATAGTTGAGAGTGGTTTTGCCTCAGCTTGTCAATCAGGATTTACAGTTTTCCACAACAAAGCTAGTTTTAGTATATCATAAAGTTTTGTACCACCCGTTTTCGTCTATCCCTTTTGAGCGTATGTTTTGTTTGTTTTACGGTCATAAACTCGCTCGGATCAATCTAACATCTCACATATCACCATGATCACGAAGGATTCATGCAAACGACTCAGATGCCACTTCACTGTCACTTGATTTCTTCATGATCATGGGCATAAATATGGCTCTGACCTTCCTCTCAGTCTGCAGGACAAAAAAGACAGGATGTTCTGGGAAGAGTTGGACAAGGAGCTCAAACTCCCCAAATCTGAGTCACTGGGAGGACGGACTCCAAACACCCCAAACTCCTTCATTTAACGTTCGCCGGCACTGATGGCGTAGAGGAAATCCTACTGGCTATTTATCTGGTGAAATCAGAAGGGAACGTAAAAATTTTTTCTGAAATGCCATATTCCGGGCGCAATCTCATCAGGAACATCCCGAAAGAATCTCTTGAGACGTTCTTTCGAGGTAGGAATATCATCATCATCTGACCGCGCGAACTCTGATACTCTGGATTTGAAATTCATAAAGTAGTCCTCAAGGCCAGTAGAACTTCTCTCAATACCCTCAAAAATTATGGAGGCCCTGAAATGCGATAGTCTATGTGACTACTTACTATCAACAAACCTCTTTTCTTCCCAGTAACACCGTTTCAACAAATGTCGCTTGTATAACCGATCCGCTGACCGCGAGGAACAGACGGACAACCTTTCTCCATCGCAAGGGGAAGGTTGATGTCATATACCTTGGCTTCACAAAGGCTTTTGATAGGGTCAGCTATATATATGTCTTATCAGTAATCTCAAACGGTTAGTCTCACTTCACACCTAAATAACCGCCTTTTTAATGTCAGAGTTAACTTCAAGTTCTCTAAGGCTATGGAATGTCCTACTGTGGTCCTCCAGTGTTTAGTACTAGGGTCTTCCACTGCAGGTGCCGTCAGGTCCACCACTCTTTGCTGATTATGTGAAATCGGAGAAAAGTTTGCAAGCTAAGGGGTAAGTGGAACTTCAGGAGGATCTGACGCGACCTCAAAGTTGGGCAGACAACAACAGATTTACCTTTAACACTTCAAAGTGTAAAATAGTCCATTTGAGATATGTCGCAGACTATGAACACAACATAGGTAACTCCCCCCTAGAGGTGTCCCAATTTCCAAAAGATCTAGGAGTGTTGGTACCCTACGATCCGAAGTCTTACATTAAGTGCGACAAAAATGCCTTTCGAGAAAACCTTGCACTGGTAATGTTGAAGTGCATTTTTGGCTTGTTGGAAAGAAGAACTTTCCACATAACCTTCAACAGTTTTATTCCATCTTATTTGTTGTTTGGAACATAGCGTTTCCTCCCTCACTCCAAAAGGACAAGAATAAACTAGAACGTATCTAACGGCAAGCCATGAAATCAATCTGGAGACTCAAATTCGGGTCTTATGAACAAAGCCTTCAATCACTGAACTTTTACCCATAAGAATACAAGCATCTTACGGGTTGAAGAATGACACAGGTATTCAGTGTTTGACAACGCTTCTACCAGTAACACCTAATATGATTTGTACCCACCGAAAGAAATCAAAAGACAGAGTCGAGGAGATCGCAAGAGTATATTTGGCGATAACCAAAATATCGGAATTCTCTGATCTAATCTGGCTAGCGATTGCGGTTGATGTTGAGCACGGCGTTACCACACGTGATCTGGTGCGGATGCCTGACTGAGTGCCTTCAGCTAGATGAGTCCACTAAAACATATGGTCAGCATCCGATGTCGAAAACTTACAGGGCTATTTATTTTGGGGATTTATTTACCGCTACAGGGTGACCTAATGACTTACAGCATTTCATATACTCCTGGGCATCCCCTTAAACACAAACTTAAGTTTAGTCCCAATGAAAAAAATTGGGGTTCACACCCAGAAACTGGGGACAAGAAACAGCAGAACGAGCTGGAAGCAGGTTTTCTACTCCTTAAGAGTAGTCAAATACTATAATTCGCTGCAGACTGAGCTAGTCCAAGCAACTTCCCAGTAGTCCTCCAAGATAAACCTTGACATATTCTTAAGGACTACCTAATTTCTCACCTGCAGGCATCAGTGATCCACCTCTACTAGATACGGAAGCCCGTTAGACGAAAGCTTCTTCGATTCCGTCCAGAACCAATTGAACCATTCGGACGATTGACAGTGTGTAAAAAATCAATTCCTGCGCTATTTTAGTAGCTAATGTCACATTGGAGGGTTTTAGTACGTATTCTATTTTCCTAAGTCATAAACCTTAGCAATGGAGGGCGTTTGCTAGAGAATGGCTCATTTATGACTCTTTCATGCAGTGCCCTATGCTCTCGGCCGAAAGAATTGCGAAGTATTTGACGGGAAAGAATATCCGATACTATGACCCTAGTGGTACGTTAATATTGTGTCTTTATTTCTAGCCGACTTTGGGAGTCATGTTGTTGTGATCAATTCTAGACACATTGCTGCAAAAGATAATAGTCGGTATTGGAAACGGTTCTTATACACTACACATACAAGGTTTGGACTTTTTGATGCGAAATTTTTACTATAGGTTCCCTGTGAATCGTGTTGAAGAAACAATGGAGGAAGTTCACAGGCGTGATCCTACTGAGGTAGGTAGATAATTGTGAACTCACAAGTAGTTTTAATTCATGCATACTAAATGACAGTGTTTAGTCTGTCAGTAGTTTTGTAAAGTTATTCATTCTATTACTTATCGACCTTACTGAGTTTAATCATTATACTTATTTGTCAATGACAAAATAGGTACATCAATTAACTGACTCAGGATATTTCACTTTTCAGTTGGGTTTATAACTTACAGTGGCTTTCGGCTCCTTTTAATATACAATTCTTGATAGAAACTCCTCATTAACTATGAAATGGTGTGAGTCATGGTGATTTACACCACGCCTCTCCGCTAATCAACATTACCCCACTAGTTATTGTATGTTAGACCACCCAATCAGCCTTCAACTTAGATTTGTTATTAATACGCATCATTTTTCGTACTTTTACATCACTGTCAGGTATCTTATGTGATTTACACTACTCAGTGAGTTGGAAAAAGAAAATGGTCCCAGTTAATATCTTAAGTCACTTCACTTAACACTAGTTTCCACGAGGATAACATGCTACTTATTTTCATTTTATCCTCTATCACTTCAGTCTGACAGCTCATAATTTTTACATCTTTATTATAAGTTTAACACTATCAAGCAATCAATCGGTCTAATATATATATATATATATATATATATATATATATATATATATACTACATGCAGAAATGCATTCCTACCCTTAGTTATTGAGCAACCTCTTGCAGTAATACTTATTAAACAGAAGCGATCTTTTCTAAAGTCATATTCATTGATCAAAGATTGCTTTACTTCATATGCTAGGCTCTTTCAGTACTTTAACGATTATACTAATCGGCCTATCAAAACAGCAGTTACCTATCAGATTCTTATATCTGGCATCAGACTGGACCATTGATGACATCCTTTGACTTCTAAATGTTCCATCCGGCCACATTACTGTGAAATTTCATTAGTATCTACTAGTGCCAGTATTATGAAGTGAAAGTCGTCTAAATTACTACTTTCTAAGCCTGAAATACCACAGTAGTCGTATAACTACTTGCTCTTAAGTAGATGTTCACGCATCACCAAGACGTTAACTAGACTACTACATGAATTTCCGATAATCAGTTTGAACACTACGTCAAGCCTTCAACCCTGGAATCTTCCTTAATTATTCCAAGTTATCTCTTATAAAATATAAAGTTTGAAATGCCTTCACATCACAGGTATTTTTTAATACTAAAATAAGTCTTTTAAACACTGAAAACCATGGGTTATTTGTTTGTTTTTTATTGTGACGCTCATTTCTGTTCTCAGTATCAGAATCTATAAAAGCATCCTGGAGTTTTCTCCTATATATGTATGTGATACATTTGGATGTAGTTGAGTATGGAAATTAAAGACTTCATAACCCTTGGATCTAGAAACACAATACGTGATAAGTGAAGAAACTAATTGCAGGTTAGATAATATACGCATAGTAATAGTAGTAGAGAAATAATGTGTACAAATTATAAGGTTTTCGCCAGTTGGGTTCCTAGTGCTTTTAAATGTGATGTTGAAATATTTTAATTAATAGTTGTGGTAACTCAGTTTCTGTTTATTGATGTTATGTTAGAGACTTTGTAATTGTACTGCTAATAGACGAGCAAATGCTGTTTATCAATCTTGGTTTATGAACAATATTTCTCAAAGTTTGGAACATTTAAGGTCCAATCCTTCGCGATCTTCGTATACGTATACTTATTATTAAAAGTACATACCAAACGTAACAATAAAGTGTCGTAGCAAAATCCTGAATCATACTAATTACTATACATCATCTCCACATGGAATTCCTACTACCTACGTAATTTGATACTTTAGATTATGCTATCTTAAGCGATCAACGAGGTCTTGGTATAAAGTGGGATCTTTAGGATTACATATTCTAGTTCGGACCTCATCAAAGTTGTTATCGTTTTGTATTTAGTTGCAATTAAACGTTGACACTATTCTGTTGTTACTATTATTACTTGTATTATCGGTAAAACTTAGATATTTTGTGTATTGACCTTTGCTGGCCTTCTTTCTTAAGGTGATTGGTTGGGCTTACGTCTTCTAAAAACTATAAAAATATCAACTTTTTAAGAACCAAATTAGTCACACTAACATCTCTATTAAGATTAATCTCGAATCAGTTTGTCGAAACCTTTTATCTTGATCACTCTGTTAATTAACGCCGTTGTTCCTGACGGAAAATATGACTCAGTTTAGTCTACAAATCTTCACTCAGTACTTATTCAGACAAACAATTAGACACCTATTTATTTCCCGCTAATTGGTACTATTATTATAATACTTATCAGAAACATTCGTTTAATTGGCTTCAATCATTTTTTAGGTATTGAGGGCTAGTTCTACCATTTGATTACTACCTGGGACGAATGTCTGAAATTCTAACATATTAGCCACTGAGCCACCACCTCACCAGTCACTGTTCTATTTTTACTTGAAAAGTCATTTTATTAAATTTAATCTTAACCAACTACTCATTAAAATAGTAAGCCCTATCTAGTTTACGTTGAGATTTCTATTTACTTTTATGAATTCCTTGTTTTTTTATCGTCTCAGGTTATTCGTTTAGAAATTAAAGCCGTCTTACGAAATAATGAATCCCGTAAATATCAATTATCTCGTCTTCATATATACCCTGATAATATTGAAGTATTGATTAGTAATTGAAAATTAGTTACTGAATTTAGACTATTCCCAAGGACATTATTGCAAATATTTCAGGAGTAATACCACAAGTTATGAAAGTACCAAAACGTCTTGATGAATACTCTGCTGAAGAACTTAATGAATTTCCTAAACTTTTTGATTGGTTAGTCGCCTATACAATTGTATTTTATGTCGGTTGCTATTTTATTTGCTTGTTTTGGGTCAAACCCTATAAAATCAATTGTTTTTAAATGTAAGTATCTCAGAAAACCATGCAAATGTCTGGTACTTATGAATCTGTTTGAAAAGGCTCTGAAGTTAACGTAGTTCAAATTGATTGAAAATAAAATATTGGTTATTTTCGGAAATTGTTAATTAAGAAGATTATTTACTCTACATTTGAAAAACATCTTTAAGTCTATTAAATTAGTACATGTTTATTTTTTCACTGAAAATTAGTTGACAAAAATTGTATAAGTAGACAAATTGACATGAGCTCAGAAGCTGACACGCGAGAAAACATCAGTTGAATTTATCATTAACACTTTCCCAACATACTTCAGTTGATGTAACGCATTGGCGTACATAATGATTTTACATGAGCAACACAGTCTATTAACTTCAGTACCAATGAAACTTACTAGTTGTCTTCGCAATAAGCTTTATATCAATATTTCAGGTGTCTTTTTGTGTTTTCTCTGGTCTTCATTCAATGATTGTCAGTTCACCTTGACCCAATGATTAAAATAATGACTTGGGTCAAAGTTTTACATCACTCAAGTAGTGTCTCCACCCCCTCCCCTCATGTACAAATGTTCGACGTAAAACTTAATACATAAATGTTTATTTGTCTACTAAGACGCATTGGTTTAGTTTGTAAAATCCATATTCATATTTGTAAATCTATTGGAATAACCATATACTCACTAGCAACTAATATCGACGGTTGACTAGTGGATTTTATTTATGTCGGATGTAAGACATTAGAAAATTGTCATGCGATATCGTGGATTCATTGAAGCTAAGAATGTAAACCTGACTCAGTGGTCTAAAAATTGGTCACCTCGAAACCTGTAGGTCCTGGGTTAGATTCCCAGTGGCTTCATTTATGCACACTGATAAGTAGTTCCATACCAGTTCGGAAAAACTCCAATGCTTCCTAACTAAGATCACTCCGTGATGTAAAAGATAAAATTTAACAATCTTCACAGACCCCGTTTATTAAAATAATTTCATGAATAAATATTTAAATTCATTGTCAGTTATCTGACCTAATCTTAATTTAACTATAACGATTGGTATTACTCACAATTCTTCGTCATTAAATTACTATTAAATTAATGCGAAATCTAAAGTGTAGTATATGTATACAGTAATGCTATTCCATGTTACTTACATATATTCTCTGAGTGATATTTTCTTTCGAAAAATTCTTTCAGGCCCGAAGATTTTCATGTTGCCCCGCTTAGTTCAATTGCAAAGAAGCTGATAACCAGAGGATCGAAATAACATGCTGATATTGTATTACTGCATATCTGTATATTATGTATTATAGTAATCTAACTGTTCCCTTTTTTATGGTTTTGTTGTCGTTTTAGAGCATAAAGCCAACATTGATAATGAATGTGAAGTTCAAAGAATTACAAATGGAAAAGATTAGATTTATACCGTAAAGCATACTTTGTAATCATTCTGTTCTTGTGCTTTATCCACATGAACTGAGATGTACTATTATCATGCCTGGATGTGTGTATACTGATTACAATGTATCTATTTTGATAAATAGTCGACAAAACTATGTTATAGTGACGACCTTCAGGGAACTGGTCATATTAAAGATGTCGTTTATCGAATTTCGTTCAAGATTCAAGCCTTATTGAAGTATAGCAGGTATCTTATTGAAAAATAAGGAAAAGTTGCTGATAATTAGTTCCTAGAATGGTTAAAATTGTAAAAATTATCTTTGTTCCAACCACACAGAGAATGTAACATATTGCGTTGGCTAAATTACAAGAAATACCTGTATCTAATACAGATTATTTCTGGACGTACTTCATGTGATTCAGGGCATGGTCAAGGGTGTTTTTGTGACTGAAAATTATTCACTTACTCTATATACATATACTAACCCTAAAAATTCTAACCTCAAATCCTGTATCTACCAGGACTCCTAATGCCTAACCTTAACTTTTGTTCGTCCACCAATCATGTTAAAATTGTTTATTTACCTAAGTTTCATTACTTTATTCTAAATCGCTTTGTAACTAAACACTTTTTTGGTTGAGTGATAGTCTCTTAAAGTTATCTCTGTAATTGATTGAGGTGATGACTCGACTTTCAATATCTAACGATAGCTTAGTATTTAAAACACTTATGGTATATACAAATATATTGCAACTGAACTGAACGTAATTTATTTAATGAAGTTTTAGGTTTTCACGACTCCGAATGGGCCAGGTTATTGAAAAAATGTTTAAATACCACATACGTACGTGAAAAAATACTCTATATACGACGTCAGATAATACTGGCACCCATATATCTTCTAACGAATTGACTTACAAGCAGACAAGGGGTAATGTGATAATGGTTGTTAGGTAGGTTATTTTTGATTGTGTGCGAAGTCCGGTAAATATGGGACTTCCAAACCAGCTATTTATCATAGGATATGTGTTTCATGTCAGATCGTACTATAATCTGATAGTGATACCTAACCCTTAAATGCCCTGGTACGACCGAAGGTGGGAGAGTCCGCTCTCCCTCTCGAAATGCTCTCACATGGCCATGCGTTTACAGCCACTGCGAGGAAAGTCCTACCCACTGCCTTTTCACAGCAGGCGTGTTGTTTAAGGAATTGAGAGGACGAAGAGCGAATGTCTGGCTCTTTGACTGGGTTGATGAGTATGGGGGGTCCACCTAGGAAATTTGAAAAACTCTGGTTCCGAACCAGTGGTGCACATGAGCTCCAGAGACCTGGTGGAACAAATGGTGTATGAACCTACTGTTGATCACCGGCTATCATGGGATGGCATCTCCTGACGCTGCTCCACTGCCTTGTGGGTCAGACCTTTAGGTCGGAGGCTCAGGATGTGGCCCTCTAAGAAAACCATCTGCTTCGGTTTAGCACCCGGGCAGTGCCATAGCCCACAAACAAATCGAGTGACTTGTGTGGCGCATATGAATTCGGTGCTCCTTTGTACCAATATTTATGTTCGAATAAATAAAAAGAAGTGATACTTAACTAAACACCTTCAGCTTGGTATGGTTAGTATCACTGTTGAATGGTTAAAAGATTGTTCATTTTAGTGGGCTATTCACGACTACAAATATATACAGTGTACATCAGAAACCAGTTACAAAAGGGATGGGATTATTATATCAATATATACTAGCTACATAGTAATGTGTGAGTGAGATAACATAGTTAAAAGATCAGCAAAGAAACTAGTATTATTGTTTAGATGATATTTCTTTTTTGGAGCCGTTAGGTTCCCAGAACTCACTTGAAAAGTGACCTAATTTTGTAATTTTATTTTGAAAATTTGAAACCCAAAAGCGCTCTTTTCACTGCTATGTCCCGATAAGCATAATAAATCCATAATGGGATCCATTTGTGAACCGATACTATGTGTATATTTTTATCGTATAATTTTTAAATAACTAAACTATTCATATTCATGTCCCTCTTATTATGAGCTTTGTTTTGACCCATAGACTATTATTATACGATTTACTATTCTTTTATTATGCCCTGTCTATTAATTACTACCTCCCTCATTCACAGCCATCTTTGGCCAAATCTCGTATAAATGTTGTTTCCTATTTTATTGGTACGATGTGGTCTGTCTGGTTGATATATAAACCGAGTATATTTGAAATAAATGATTCATATTGTAGAGGCTGAAATCGGTGTTCTGGACTTAAATGGCTGGGCTAGGCACGAAACAGGGTCAATAAGGACTCTAGACTGTTCATACAAGTTTACGCGTCATTGATCCAATCGATAAATCACTGCTCTCTAATTGGCGGTATCGTTAAGTTATACATTAACAGGGAGCACAGGTCACAAGTTACAGCATTCACTTTCATGTATTTCCCACATGGGAGGATCTTAAACGCTATTGGTCCGTTGTGTCTTTTAGTATGCTATTTTATAACCCTTTCCAAGGACGGTTTTGTACTGTATATATACGTTTTGATTTGTGTCTGTTTTTGTCGTTCGTTCTTCTGGCTTTTTGCAGAATATAATTCCGCGTTCAGATTTCGACTTCTCTCTCTAATTAGCAGGGCTGGGACGCAATAGAATAGCTAGTTTATTAGTTTTTTTTTTGACCACAAATCTTTGTTTCATTCACAGATTAAATAAACTCGTAACCACTTTAAACTTAACATTCTTCAAATCAAATCCCTTGATAAATGACAATAAACTCTCTCAAAATAGAACTTGTTTCCAAAACCAATCAGACTTAATTAAGTTGTCATTTTTTATTTTATTTCAAATAATAATTCTTTTTTATATAGATAAAATGAAATAGATGAAAAATAATGAAACAGTAAGTTATAAATAACCAAAACCAAAAAAAAAAGAACATGATGTTTATTAACTTATTGATGATGTAATCTTTATTGTTTTATACTTTAATAAAAGATAAAACAATAACAGAAGAATGATTGTTTTGTTTTGTTGGTTTTCGTCATTCATTTGAATAAGGAACTTTTGTACAGATTAAAACAAAGAAACCGTATGATTATAATATTTTTTCGATTTATTTCAATTTAAAAAACAAACAAACAAACTGATCCTTATTGAGAAAATCTATGAAGGTACAATATTATTATCTTAGTAACTATGAACATGAGAAGTTAATATATGTGATATTATTAGTGAATAATTATATCATTTTCATTAGATAATGAACACCTTGACAACAAAATAAAACAAAACCAAAAAAAGGAACAGGTTTTTTTTTATTATAAATATCAATCATTTAGGATGATTAAATTGATATGTAGAAAAAATTTTTTTATTTTTTTTTATTTGTTTATTATTAAGTAAATCATATT